TTTCCTTTGTTTTGCTAAAAATACTTTTGATAAAAATTAAAAATCAAAATGAATTTTTTCTCTTTCTGTATTCAAGAAAAAGAAAAGAAACAAAAAAGAGAAAAAAAAGGAAACCATTTGAAAATTTGAAAAAGTGAATACACTGAAGTAGACTAAAATAAAATGATGGAAGTAAAATAGAATTTGAAAAAATTTACACAAAAGTGAAAAATACAGTAAAAAAAAGAAAAATATTTTTAATAAAAATTGAAAATAAAACAACTTTTTCTGTATTCAAGAAAAAGAAAAGAAGTGAAAAAAAAAAGAAAATTGAATAGATGGACCTGCTGCTGAATTCTGTGGTTCAGGTTGTGCAGATTGTTGTGTTAAATCTCAAATCAGTTTTCTAGGTGTGCAGGATGGTTTAGTCTTGGTCTAGCTGTATGTAATGAATGCGAGACACAAAAAACTTCCATGCTGTTCCACCATCTTCTAAAAATACTTTTGAATAATTAAAAGTTTGATTATATTGCTCTTATGTGTTTCTGTAAATTGCTAATTTGCATATATAATTTGATACATAATGAGTTATATAAGAAATACATTTCATTACAGGGTTTGCAGGAAATATAGTTATTTATTTACTTATTTACTTATTTATTTATTTCTAAGTTTATTCATCTCAGAGAGAGTGAGCACATGCAACCTGGGAAGGGGCAGAAGAGATGAGAGAGAGAGAGAATCCCAAGCAGGCTCTGCACTGCCAGCGGGGAGCCTGATGTGGAACTTGAACTCACGAACTGTGAGATCATGACTGAACCAAAGTCAGATGCTTAACCTCCAGGAAATATAATTATAAAGTTGTTAAAAATTAATAGCTTTAAGTTTTTAAATTTAAATTTTAATTTAAAAGAATTAGTCTTTCATAACCCTGCACTGAATAAAAGGAGTAAACTTTATGCTTATCCTTTTTATGTATAAAGCACAGACATAGGGGTGCCTAGGTGGCTCAGTGGGTGAAGCGTCTGACTTTGGCTCAGGTCATGATCTCACAGTTTGTGAGTTTGAGCCCTGTGTTGGGCTCTGTGCTGATAGCTCAGAGCCTGGAGCCTGCTTCTCATTCTATGTTTCCCTCTCTCTTCCCTTTCCCTGCTCGTGCTCGCTCTCTCTCTCTCTCTCTCTCTCTCTCTCTCAAAAATAAACACTAAAAAAAACACAACACGCATACAGTACATAAACATACATAGTATACCTGTGGTATGAAAATTTTATGGAGAAGGGGGCAATTAGGGAAAAAATGTCTAAATGGGCTTAGAGATAATAAAAAGGTTGAGAAACAGGAACACGAGTGTAGGATGGTGATTAGTCCAGAACTTGGGGTGGTAAAATCTAGATTGGGTGGAAATGACCTTCCTGGTTGTAGGTGTATCAGCTTACACCTAGAGGATTCCATGGTATTTCCCTTCACCCTAATAAGAGATAGGATAGAAGTGTAGAACATAGAAAGGTAGGTCAGATAATATGATATGTAGGAGAAATAGTTCCTACTCTAACTACTTTGCTAACAGTTCTTATAGTTGGAGAGATAAGGTAGAAATAGGGAAAGTTGATTCATTTAGTAAGAATTAAATGTAAATTCAAGGTAAACATAATACATCATTTGACTTAATGCTAAAAATTCCAATGTACCTACAATATCTTCTATGCATATTTTATAATGTCCTTGTTACTGCAGTGTTTTAGTGTTCAATGACAGCTTGGAGCCTGGAGCCTGCTTCAGGTACTTTGTATGTACGTGATTGCTTAATTAGCTCTGAAGCCAGGATGTGAAAGGAAACAATGGGGGTTCTGTTTTTGGGGGAGTTTGGCTTATGCCTCTCCAGGTATTGTGCTGAGGCAGAACAATCCTGGCATTGCTAGGTTTGGGGGAACCAATCTTACCCTTGGGGTAAGGGTTTTAGAGTGTATCTGTGGAAGACCTAGGACTGTAATTCATGAATCCTGAGTTTTGAAATGTCTTTTCCTTTCTGGAAATCTGGCAGCCATTTACAGAAATAATGTAATATACATTTTGGGGGTCTTGTCTATTGACTTTTATAAACCAGAAGAGGAGGGCCTCAGCCTTGCAAGTCACCGGTCATCATGGTCTTTCAATTGCACTTGTGTATCAATCAGGCTTTGGAACCGATCCTCAAGAGCATTTTTAAGTACTTAAAGTGGTGTTTTGGCTTCTTTGTTCCTTCTGCCACTGTTCATCCTTATTTTTCTTTTATAGGTGTCTCTGCAAACAGACTCATGGGTGGTGCAATGCAGCTTACCTTCCGCAAGATGGCCTTTGACTATTACCCCTTCCACTGGGCAGGTAGGACAGTTCTGCATGGCAGCAGTCCTGGTGCTGCCCAGCTACACGTGTACTGAGGACAGATTCCTGGATTCATCCCTGACTGCCCAGCAGGCGGGTGCCAGGAATTTCAGCTCAGAGAGGTGTTGGGAATAGCCCTCTTGAAGAAGACATCTTCTGGAAACTTGCAGGGTCTGCTATTAATGATTCTTTATGAGTGATAAAGAAGGAGTAGGAGGAGAGGCAGTGCTTGAGATTTTGCTTTTGACTCTATGTTCTGCCCCTACTTCCAGTAGTTTTAGAGCCTCTCTAATAGTCCATGGTCAAAGATGGTGACAGTCAGCAGCTGGTCTTTAGGGAACCTTAGGGAAAAATCACATATGGAATCCAGAAGAACTTGAGTTGTTCTCACTAGATGATTTTTACTTATCCCATAGAAATCTGCATTGGGATACAGGATCAGATTCTGAACTATGACTATACCAATGGAAGGGAAAAATTGGGATGTTGGATCGTGGTCTTGGACTAAAATCTTCTTGCTTCTTTGTTGCATAGGTGACAGCTGCAAACATTGGGTACGGCACTGTGAGGCCATGGAGACCCGAGGCCAGTGGGCCCAGAAGCTGGTGATGGAATTTCAGAGTAAAATGGAGAAGTGGCATGAGGAGACGGGTCTCAAACCTCCCTGGCACCTGGGGCTGGACTCTCCCTTCCGGAGGAAAGCAGGTAGGTTACAAAGAGCTGGAGGACTCCCATTGCTTAGCCTCTTGCTAGTTACCTTTGAATATCCAGTGAAGATAAAGCACTGGACTAGCTAATTATCCCAACCTCATCCCATGGAGAGATATCAGTGACTTTTTTTCTTTACAGAGTCCTAGTTGTCTTCAGGAATAGCTGCAGTGTAGAAGAGAGGCTGTTACCTCCTTTATTCAGTAGGCTGTTGCGTTGGTCTTAAGGAGAGTATGAATTTTGAGTTCCTTCTAGGCGCTAGGCAGTGTTAAGCTCTCTTTCCTACCTATAGCCTTAACGATCTTAGGATTTTTACTTTTAATTCTATTAATAATGAGAGTTGAATGTACCCGATTATCTTTCCTACCTTCTTGTTTTTACTTAGATTCTCTCTCCAGTCCTCAAAAGAACTCCCTTGAGAGAAGCCCCTCTCAGGGCCGACAAGCTGCTTTTCGGCCTCCAGCATGGAATCGCTTACGTTCTAGCTGCATGGTAATACGGGTGGATGACTTGGACATTCACCAGGTGAGAAGCCCAGGACACAGGGAGGCATGGTTGGAAAGGGGTCGAGCAGTTCATCGACTGGGGGCAGGCAGCAGATGTGAACAAGATCGTGGACTTCAGGGGCTGCTTCCCTCACTTCTGAGTGGATTGATACATTGGTCTGTTTCTTTCTGAGCATGGCTGCTGAGATCAGGACCTGGGATTTCCCCAGTTTCCTCTGAATACCCCACTTCAAACCTTCCCCTGAGAGAAATGAACTTGCAGATGGTGTTAGGCAGGTGTGAAAATGCCTGCAACACGTGTGAAAAACACTCTTCTCCCTGTGACAGATTTTGGAAGGATTGTGGTGGCTTTATACAACCTCAGGAAATTGAGGAAATTCTATTCTGTATGCTGTACAGATTCTAACAGCAACTTGTGTGTGATTACGTAGGTTTCTACAGCTGGACAGCCAAGTAAGAAGCCATCTACACTCCTTTCCTGTAGTCGCAAACTTCACAACCTACCCACTCAGGTCTCTGCCATTCATATTGAGTTCACAGAGTATTACTTCCCCGATAATCAGGAGCTTCCAGGTAAGCATTTCATCTGGTCACTTCTTACTGTTTAGCTCATGCTCTTCACATTTGCCAGCCTTGGGGCCATGGCTTATATTCTCATTTGATGTTGGAATTTTAGGTGTTTGAGTTAGTTGAGAACACCTTTGTTACAAACTCTCCCTTGTATGAGAATGCATCTTTGCTTTCTTCATAATAAAATGAATTTTAGCTGGTAAGTAAGGGTCAAGGTGCAACTTTGTACATGGCGATTCCTTTTTTTCCTGCTTTCCAGTTCCCTGTCCCAATCTCTACATTCAGTTAAATGGTCTGACATTTACTGTGGATCCTGTCAGCTTGCTCTGGGGAAACCTCTTCTGCCTGGATTTATACCGCAGCTTGGAGCAGTTCAAAGCTATCTACAAGCTGGAAGATTCAAGCCAGAAAGATGAACACTTGGATATTCGACTAGATGCCTTCTGGTTGAAGGTAGGGGAGAGTGGGATTTCGTTCCCTGTTGGCAGCCATAGTTGCATTTCTCCCATGGCTATAATCCAGGGTTCTGCTCTGTCCCTTTGATACAAGAAAAACAGTGTCACACCCCAAATAGTCTTTCACATGTATATCAATGATAGGTTGCAGAGCTACTCAGATGTCCATTCTGAATCAGGTTTCATTTTCTCTCTGAAGGTGAGCTTCCCGCTGGAGAAGAGAGAGCAGGCTGGGTTGCATCGTCCTCAGGCCCTTGTCTTTTCTGCATCAGGCATGACTGCCACCAATACGCGTCATGCCCCACATTGTAGTTGTCTAGACCTCCAAAGTCTCTTCCGAGGTTTTGCGGCTGCTGAGTTCTTTCATTCCAATTATGTTCACTTTCCCAAGGTTCCAGGTGGCTTTAGCCTTCTGCACATGCTTTTTTTACATCATGCTTTCCAGATGGATTCCCGCCTTCCTCAACCCAGTACCCTCCCTCCCCAGAGGCTTAAGGCTTCCCAGGATCTCTGGTCCATCCACTTCACCCAGATCTCCTTGGATTTTGAGGGAACAGAGAACTTCAAAGGCCATACCTTGAATTTTGTGGCCCCCTTTCCCTTGTCCATTTGGGCCTGTCTGCCCCTCCGCTGGCAGCAAGCTCAGGCACGGAAGCTCCTTTTGGCCACAGAAGGGAGGCTGAAACCATCAGCTAGCTTTGGCAGTCCTGTCCAGTCTGAGGTCCTTGCCCCAGACACTGTGTCCCATCAGAGGTCAAAGACTGAACATGATTTGAAAAGCCTGTCAGGCTTTACAGAAGTCATGGATGTTTTGCGAGAAGGCAGCAGTAGTGTGGACAACAAAGGGCCTCTGACTGAGCTCGAGGATGCAGCAGATGTTCACATGCTTGTACACTCCCCTGCACATGTCCGTGTGAGGCTTGACCATTACCAGTACTTGGCTCTACTGCGCCTGAAGGAGGTGCTACAGGGTCTTCAAGAACAACTGACTAAGGATACAGAGGCCATGACCGGGTCTCCCCTGCAGGACCAGACAGCTTGCATTGGGGTCCTCTTCCCCAGTGCTGAGGTGGCTCTGCTCATGCATCCTACCCCTGGGACTGTTGAAGCTGACTCGGCAGGTTCAGATACCACCAGCCTCATAGATTCAGAGTTGTCTCCTTCAGAGGATAGGGAGCTGAAGTCTGATGCCTCTTCAGACCAGGGCCCAGCAAGCCCTGAGAAGGTTCTGGAGGATAGTGGCATTGAAAATCTGGATGCATCCCAGGATAGGCCATTGCCTCTCTCTAGCAATGGAGAACTACAGGATTCAGATTCTCTTGCACAGCAGGAGGCAGGGAAGGGCCATGAGGCAGTCGATTCCTTACAGGCCAAGAGACTGAGCAGAGCTCAAGCATCCACCTCACCGGCTGTGTTGAAGCCCCCAAGTGGCAGGGATACCGCTGTGAATGGACAGGCTGAGCTCATCCCCTTGAAGAACATTGAGGGAGAATTGTCAAGTGCTATTCACATGACCAAGGATGCCACAAAAGAGGCTCTCCATGCCACTATGGACCTCACCAAGGAAGCTGTGTCCCTGACTAAGGATGCCTTCAGTCTGGGCAGAGACCGAATGACCTCCACCATGCACAAGATGTTGTCCCTGCCCCCAGCCAAGTGAGTGGTTCTCTGCCTCCTTCATTCACCCTATTTCTGCCTCCTAGCTCTGATCATTGGGCTTAAGGCCTCCTGCTGTGTGTACTTTTAGTTTGGGAAGCACCATCTAGTCCAGGACAATGTATAGCATGGCCTCTTTAATGTGGCAAAGACTTTAGTTTTCAGTGCTACCTGCAGGGCAGTGGAAGAGTTTTCAGGCTACCAAGAGGATATAGGTATGCCAGCTGTAGAGACTTATTTTTAGGACTACCTCTAATTCTGTGATAGAGGAAGAGCCAGAAATTGGATTTTCACATGCCATGTATCTTAGCCTATTCTTGGGGAGTTTTCAAGTCAGCATTTATTGCTTCATAGGATCTTCCCTCCTCTTTCACTGAGTCACCATTATTGATACAGATAGGCTCAGAATAATAATGAATAATAATAATGATATCTGGCATCTGCATGATATTTTATTCTTTTTAGTGGTCTTTCATGTAGTATCTTGTTTGATTTGATCCCCACAGCAGCCCCATGAGATAGTTACAGAAATTTGTATCCTCCGTTTATAGCTGAGGAAACTGAAGTTTTAGAAAGGATGAGCCTATGAATCCTTTATCTCATAAGTAGAGAGGTTGGGGCTTTGGGTTTGCTTTCTGGTACACCTTATCAATGTCTGCCAGAGTTAGAGAAGGAAGAATTTCATGTATTTTATCTATTTATTCAACAAAAAAAATTTTTTTCAACAAAAATTTTTTTTTTTTTTTTTTTTTTTTTTTTTTTTTTTTTTCAACAAAAATTTTTTGAGCCCTGACAGTGTCCCCAGCTCTGTGTTAGGCACTGAAGATGCAGTAGGGAGTAAGCAGAAAAACACAGAAATGCACAGTCAGAAGAGTGGAAAGGTATGGATTTTTCCATGGGTGCCTTGTGGTTTTAGGGAAGATAATGAAGGCTATGGGAAATCTTTGTTGGGGACTCTTTGTGGTTTGAGGATCATGGTTTGAAAGTCAGTGGCTTTAGAGCTTTGTCTAAGTGGATTGTGGGTCTAAATGGGTCTCTAAGCAATGCCAGTTCTCTTAGGCACAGATAGCCTAGGAGGAAGGAGAAGGGAGAATTAAAGGGATAAAAGATATACTAATACTAGGCAACATTTATTGAGTGCTTTCTATGTGTTAGGCACTGTCCTGAATACTTACAATATTAATCCATTGAATTCTTGTACAACCCTGAAGGCAGGTACTAATATCAGTCTTCCTTTTACAGATGGGGAAACAGACTTAGGGAGGTAAGAAACTTGTTCAAGGTTGTATAACTTGTGAGTGGTAGGGTGAGGATTGAAAGCCTGGACTCCAAGTCACCAAACGTGCTGCTTTTTCTAAATGGAGAAGCATAAGGGAGATGGGAAAAGAGGAGAGGTGGTAAAGAGAAAAGAAAGGTGTCTATGACACCAGCCTTTTTTGAAACACCAACCTTGACTTCTGACTTTCCAGTCCCATGGCCTCTTCTCAGTCCTCCCTGTCCTCGACAGCCCTGTGTGGCAGCCAGCCCTGCAGTCATCCTGAATGCCTGTGGCCCTGTCTGGCCACTCGCACTACTCAGAAGGAGCCAAGAGAGCTTGGATGCTCTCTTCTTCCCCTTATCCTATAAACACAACTGTTCCACGGCGCTAGGCTGTCTGTATTCTGATTGTTTTTTCCATAATTTTATGTTTTAAATTATGAAAATGATTTGTGTTCATTTTGTTGACAATGTAGAAAAAGAAGAATGAAGAAAACAAAGTCACTTGTGACAACACTATGCAGAGATAGCCACTATTTACATTTGGATCTATTTTCTTCCAATTTTTATACATATACCTGTGTACCCATGTGAATCCTTACCTGTGTATACACACATAGTATACACAAATACTGTTTTTTTGGCAATAGAATTATATTATTTCTAGATCATGTAGAAAACTTCCAGTTTTATTCACTTAATGTTTTAGTGTGAATAATTTCCCATTCATTAGGTATTTGAATACATAATTTTTAATTGCTCTATTGTGTTCTAGCAAATGGATGTGTCCTAATTTATTCATTCATTCCACTATGGGCGGGCTTTAGACTGTTTCCAGTTTTTCTCAGGTAGAACCAATGCTGTGTTAAATGCCCTTATTTTTGTGAATATTACTCTTTTATGCATATCTGAATCTTTAGAATAAAAATCCAGAAGTGGGTTATTATTGGGTCAAACACTACAAACATTAAAAAAAATTTTTTTAATGGTATTTTTGAGAGAGAGACAGAGATGAGTTGGGGGTGGGGGGGGGGTGGGGAGAGGGGGTGAAAGGGAGAGAGGGAGACACAGAATCCAAAACAGGCTCCAGGCTCTGTGTTGTCAGTATAGAACCTGATGCGGGGCTCCGACTCAGAAACCGTGAGATCCTGACCTGAGCCGAAGTCAGATGCTTCACCAACTGAGCCACCCAGATGCCCCAAACTACAAACATTTTTTAAGGTTCTTGACGTATTTGCCAAACTTCAGGAAGGTTTATATCAGTGCATTTTTTTTAATACTTTCTAAGTTATTTTATCCATCTCTCACTTCTGCTGTGGTCTATATTTTCGGTTCTGACTTTTCTCCCCTGCTCGTCATTTAAAACTATCTACTGCATGTAGTTCTGCATGGATTTTCCAGGGGTGTGTCGAGCCTCACATACATAAAGCTAAATTCCTTATCTCTCCCCAGACCAGTTCCTTTCTTTTCTTCAGTAGCATCATTCTTCTGCTTGTTCGAGCTCTGTGTTTTAGCTCTGCCTCTTTCAGTCATTTGTCAGATTCTGACTGTAATCCCCAGAGCAGTGGTTCTTGAAACTGAAGCATGCGTCAGAATCACCTGGAGGGCTTGTTAAAACATATTGCTGAGCCCCACCCCCAGAGTTCCTCATCCAGTAGGTCTGAGATGGGGCCTGACTGTTTGCATGTCTAATAAGCCACCCGTTGATGCTGATGCTCCTACCAGGACGACACTTTGAGAACACTGCTCTAGGGAGTCTCATGGCCGCTTCTGCTGTCTGTTCCCGCTTGTGGACTATTTCAGTAAACCATTAATTTATTTCCTCATTGGAGGTCTTTTCCTCCCTACCTTGTTTGAAAGAGTCAGGTCACAATTCTTAAAACACAGGCCTGATCTTGTTATTTCTCTTCTCTAAAACTTTCAGGCTTTTTCCTTATAACCCCTGAATTTAGTTTGAATTTATTAGTGTGGCAAAATCAATTATTATGATATTTCCTTACAGCACTTTACAGTTTTTTAATAGACTATTTTTTAGAATAGTTTTAGGTTCATGGCAATATTGAGCAGAAGGTACAGAGATTTCCTGTATATCCCCTCTACTTAATAGTTTTAAAAGCACTTTCATATGTAATCTTTAATCCAGGTTTTTCAGTAATCTGGCTGCAACCCATGTGGTAAAGAGGAAAAAAAAAAAACACTTAGCAAGCAAGAAGTTAGGAGACTTGGGTTTTTCTTAATTCCACCTTTGTGACCTTGAGTCAGTTTTTTCACCTATAAAATGGGAAGGTAAGATTAAAAGATCTTTAAAGGGGACACCTGGGTGGCTCAGTTGCTTAAGTGTCTAACTCTCAATTTGGGCTCAGGTCATGAGCCCTGCCTCAAGCTTGGTGCCGAGTGTGGAGCCTGCTTGGGATTTTCTCTCTCTCCCTCTCTCTCTGTCCATCCCATGCTCACGCTCTCCCTTTCTCTCAAAAAAATAAAGAAAAAAATTTAAAAAAAAGATCTTTAACGGTTTATTCTCACTGAGTTGTGCCTTTCTGTTCTCCCCAACAAAACCAAAGCTCTAGCTGGTTGAGCTACTGACTGGTCTACAAAGGTGCTTTTTATTTTCTAGTTCCATGTCTCTGCTCATGTGTTTTCTTCCCCCATAGAATGCTCCCTTCCTTCTTTCACAGTCCTTCAAGGGCCACCTCACATGCCATCTCTTTCCACAAAGCCATTCCTGATCCCCTTCTTCTCACCCTTTGATATTGCCTAGCCTTTGGCATGTATCTCTTTCCTCTATGAGGTGTGTGATTTACTCCCATATACTGGTAAGTTGTGTCTAAATCTCCTCTCTCCTGGGGCACCTGAGTGGCTCAGTCAATTAAGTGTCCAACTTTGGTTCAGATCATGATCTCACGGTTTGTGGGTTTGAGCCCCGTGTTGACCCTTGTGCTGACATCTCAGAACCTGGAGCTTGCTTCAGATTCTCTGTCTCCCCCTCTCTCTGCCCCTCCCCCACTCATCTCTCTCTCTCTCTCTCTCTCTCTCTCTCTCTCTCTCTCTCGTAAGTAAATGTTAAAATAAATAAATAAATCTTCTCTTTCCTGATAGATTATACATTCTCTGAGGACAAGGGATGCCTTATTTCTTATTTTATCTACTCTCCACTCCCACCCTGTACCTAGTATGGTGCCTTTTATGCAGAAGTTTTTCAGTAAACACTTGTGGAATGGATGTGGGTGGTTTCAGGTGTCTTCATTAGCACTGGGGCTGTAAGTAGTTGGTCTCCTCTAAAAATGGGATGACCTTGAATAAACTTGACATTTAATGTTAATATGGCAGAGCTGCTTATGCAGTTTGAAATGCCGGAGGATTCACAAAGGCCAGCAATTGAAAATGGTGTGACCCCCTTATAGCAGGTAATAGTTGACATCAGAGTTTATGTATAAATAACTATCAGGGCTGAAAGCGATGGGTATTGCAAGGGACAGAACATATATCTTAAGCCACATTTGTGGTTTTTGTTTTTTAAACAGGGAGCCCATGGCCAAAATAGATGAGGGGGCAGCAGCACCATTGAGTGGAAGTGCTGCCCGACTCCGATTTTTCTCTATGAAGAGGACGGTATCTCAGCAGTCATTTGATGGCGTTTCATTGGATAACAGTGGCCCTGAAGATCGGATTTCAGTGGACAGTGATGGCAGTGATAGCTTTGTGATGCTCTTGGAGTCTGGTAGGTGGAAGCAGAGCTAGGCAAAGCTGAAGTCCAGAAAGGGTTCTTTCTGCTGCCTGTATCCCAGTAGGATACAGAAGGAGCTAAGTTCTGATAAAATAGACATTTTCTTAACCAAAACCAAAAAAGAGAAATTTTAATAGATTTGTGGCTCTGGTTTTATCCACACATTTTCTAGGTTATGGGTTAGCACTTAACCTTTATCACAGAACCAGACTCAGACCAAAGGAGAGAGTGCTAGTCTTACAGCCACGTAGCTGTGGCAGTAGGATTAGTTTGGTGGCTGGCGTCAGTGGTGTGTGTGTGTTGTCTGTTTTTGTTTTGTTTTGCCTATGTATTTTAGTGTTGGAAAATAACTAGAAGCTTTGTCTATGGTAAAATGAGTAACTCTTAGGAATTGCATCAGTCACTACTGGAAGTTACACTGGTTCTTTTATCTTATTGAACTGGACACTTTTTAAATGGTCTCTTAAGAGTGTCTAAATGAAAATGAAAAGAGAATGCACTGTTTCTGAAACTGGGTGGTGTGTACCCTGTTTGTTTTGTTATTATTATGGAATATGGAATATTATTCCAAATATGTAGATTTCAAATATGTAGAAAAGTAGAATCAAATAGTGAGTTCCTCATGTACCCATTACCTAGCTTCAAATATTAAGAACTCATGGTCATTCTTGTTTCAAATATACTTCTGTTCACTTCCCTTCCTTCCATGTTATTTTGAAGCAAATTCCAAACATATCATTTTGTCCATAAATATTTTCATGATGTATCTCTAGGAAATAGACTTTAAAAATCTTTGAAAAAAAATTTTAATTGTGGTAAAATATATATAACATAAACTTTGCAATCTTAACCATTTTTAACTATAATTCAGTGGCATTAAGTATATTCATCGTTGTGCGACTATCACCAACCATCTCCAGAACTTTTTTCATCTTCTACAGTTGAAAATCTGTACCCATTAAACAGTAATTCCTTGTTCCCTTCTCCCTCAGCTCCTGGCAACCACAATTCCACTTTCTATTTCTGAATTTGACCACTCTAGGTACCTCATATAAATGGAATCCTTTTGTGACTGGCTTATTTCACTTAACATAATGTCCTCAAGGTTCATTCACTTCATAGCACGTGTCAGAATTTTCTTCTTTTTTAAGGCTAATACTCTATTGTATGTTTATACCACATTTTGTTAATCCATTCATCCGTCAGGGAACACTTGGGTTGCATCCATTTATAGGTTTTCTTTTAATGTGACCAAATACCACTATCCATTCTTAAAAATTAGCAATTCCTTAAATCCATCAAATTCCCATTTGTTCTCATAAACGTCATAAATGTTTGTTGTTGTTGTTGCTGTTGTTGTTTTTATAGTGTCATTGTTTTTAGAGATTGGATTTGAACAGAATTTTTTGACTTTGAAACTCATCTGTTGTCTTTCTTATACAGAGTCTGGTCCAGAATCTCTTCCACCAGGAACTCTTCCAAATGTCCTGGACAGTGCTGGCGTTCAAGGGAGCCCTCTTATGGATAGTTACGGCCAGGGGTCACCAGAGGCCAACAGTTCGGTCTCACCCAGTGGGGAAGACCTCAGTCTTCACCCGGTCAGCTGCTCTACTTTCTTCTCTGCAGAGGGTAGGCTCAAGGCTAGAAGCTTGGGAGGGACGCAGCTAAGAGAGTATCCTTTTACAGGTCTCCGTTCTGGTCCTGAAGGTGAATGAGGTGTCTTTTGGGATTGAGGTACGTGGTGAAGATCTGACTGTGGCCCTTCAGGCAGAGGAACTGACCCTCCAGCAGCTGGGAACCGTGGGACTATGGCAGTTCCTGCATGGACAGTGCTCAGGTGAGGATGGTAGCAATTCCAGGGGAGCTGGTGAGATTTATCTGGGGCAGCCTTAGCTTCACCTGTCACTGTGCCCCAAGGATAGTTGTCCTAAGTGCCAAGCCCTTGGTCGTTCTCTCCAGTAGCCATTAGGGGGAGTAACTCCAGTGAAGCCTCCTGCTTGCAGGGAGACTCCCAGAGGTCTTTCTGGGGCTTTGTATTCAGTAGGCTATTAGCCATCTTCACTTCCCAGGTGCTCCTTAAGCTTATACAGGAGGCCACTGTCCACCTCTTCATTTGTGTGGCTGCTGACATCAAACTGTGTCTGATCAGGGAACTGCTGTCACTCAGATTCAGTCCTTTGATAATTGTACTTTTTATTTATTTATTTATTTATTTATTTATTTATTTATTTATTTATTAAAGGTTATTTACTTATTTTTTTTATTTTATTTTTTATTTTTA